CAGAAAAGATCCAGTGGTCATTGTCTGGGTAGTATGACGACAAACTTTGTTTCGTTACTGTATGGTGTTTGAAGCATTTAATAAGATATGATTTTTTATATACCTATAATACCATAATACTGTGTATTTTATCGTTAACCTGTGGATGTCGTGTACAGTACTGTATTGTCATTAAAACCGCCTTAAACTGCTTTTGGTTTTGTTAATTGTTAATGGTATTGTATTTAAATAAAATGTAATTTTTTCCTAATTAAAGATGTAATTTTTTCTGTTAAATTTCTGTTGTCTTTTTTCTTGTGACTTTATTTCCATTCACCCAAATCCCCCCGCCCCCCCCTATAAAACCGGATCCTCTACTGATCACTATTTATGTCTGTTTATATTCGTATAAATACTCAACAATGCGAGACCAATTATAATCTATCTTGTTTCACTGTACCTGTAGAGCGCAGGTAGCTTTTGAGATTCCTCAGTCGACTGAAGGAACGCTCACATTCACAGGAAGTGACTGGTGAGATTGCACTGACTTAGAGCTTTGTCTGAGTGTAGCTGTCGGGGAGTTAGGAAAGTTAGACTCCCAAGCATTCCATTTCTACTGCCAACTTTCCAGTTCTGTTTCAAGACACTCTAGTGATGGAAGATTACTGACCATTGATTCTTTGTGCTTCTGAGCCATTTTCCTCCATCCTGAGTCATTCATCAGTGAAAAAGGTGGAATAAGAGAGATGGAGCCCCAGATGAGCACGTTAAGCTGGCGAGAAAAAGAGAGCAAATGGTCAACGAAAGGAATCTTGATGGTCTGATGGAAATATTCTTTTGGGGAAACTATTGACATGTTATATCTATTAATTTGCCTTGTGTTTGTATAAGAGAGTGGTGGGTTAGATGTACCGACGAATTCGGCTGAGGCAACAGCTTCCGTGTATCAAGTGTCACCAACTTGACCAAAGTAAGTTGACATCACAGCAAATAAACAAAGATGGAGGTATTTATCATTACCGACTAATACATTTATCTTGCGCACATACAAATATAAATATCAACTAGAAAAATACTTGAACTATCAGGTACCACAACAAATGCACGAGGAAACATACCTACCTATACAAACATACACATACAACTATCATAAAGAAATGATAATAATTTGTTTGGTGACAATATAATCAGTTTCCGCCCATTCCGGCCAGGCGTAGCCCATCTCCCCCTCCACTACCACACACACCTACTGTTCCGTGTAGGGGAATATCTGGCTTAACAATAGACAGTAAATATTGCACTGTTTATCCTCAATGATACCCCAGCTCACCCCCCCCCTTGGGACCTGGCCTGACACCCCTATTTTGAAGTAGTTTAAGGATATACTCAGCCTCACTTATAGTTAAATTGTTTTCAGTAGCAAAAGTTAAGTATTTTGCTTTTAACTATATGTGTGTGAGCCTTGATAGTGTGGCCAGGGTCAACCTGCGTCAGGCCACAAGCTCTGACAATATAATGTTGGTGACGTCATGGGTCAGGTCATATATAATAGCCCAGAGAAACCAGATATCAGATGAACAACGTTGATATAGAGAAATCTCACTGTGAGAAAGATTTAGGGGTAATGATCAGCAGGAATCTTAAACCAAGACAACAATGTGTATTTGCTCGAAACAACACTAACGAAGTATTTGGGTTCATACAAAGGAGTGTTAGTTTCAAGAATAGCGAGGTTATCCTAAAACTCTATCTTGAGCTTGTGAGACCTCCCTTGGATTACGCTGTTCAGTTTTGTCACGCCACTACAGAATGTATATCGAATCCCTAGAAAGCATACAGAGGAGGATGGCAAGATTAATCCCGGGCATTAGGAACCTTGAGTGTAGAGATAGATTAAAGCATCTGAATTTGCCCTCCCTCGAGAGACGTAGAGCGAGGGCCGATATGATCGAAGTGTATAAATGGAAATCGGTTAAATAAAGGTGATATAGCAAAGGTAGTAGGTAGTAGGCAGCTACCAATCAGGGAGGTACTACCGCCTGGGAAGATATTGGAAGCATAATGTATTCTCTAACGGTAGACTCTGCTGCCATATGGCATCATGAAAATTGTGACCAAGTACCAGGTTGCTTCTCTGACTTTCTGCCTCATTTACACACAATTGCAGGGTCTCAATTGTTTCTCTTACTTGGACAACACAACATACATAATATGTATCGTTTCTCACTCTTGATTTATTTTTTCGTTTTTGTATTTATTTATGGTTATTATTTTTTTGTATTATTTTATTTGTGTTTGTATTAATTTGCTATTAATTGTTGTAATAATAATAATAATAATAATAATAATAATAATAATAATAATAATAATAATAATATATATTATTATTATTATTATTATTATTATTATTATTATTATTATTATTATTATTATTACTATTATTATTATTATTACTATTATTATTATTATATTTTCGCCCCCCATGCCCTGATATGGGTCAGTGACCTGTGCCTGGGTGGGCTAATCTCCCAAAAAAAAAAAACTCCCAAAGAGAGAACTCGAAACAATGGTTTTAAAGAAGACAAATTTAGATTTAGGCGCGAAATATGTCAGCGCTGGTTTAAAAATAGATTCGTGGATGAGTGGAACAAGTTACCGAACATTACCGTTAACTCGAACACACTGGATAGTTTCAAATATACTGTAGGTTGGTCGGATATATGAGCAATAGGGGTTAGGTTAGGTAATATAAATATTTACGATGTTTTTCCTTGTGATGACCTTCAGAGGCGTAAAACTTCTCTGTACATTTTTCGTAAGGGACCGTTCTTACTGATCACTTATTGAAATAAGACTATCCAGTTCCAAAATTTCTGAATCATAATATTCAATAGGAAATTACAGTTGATAATTAGTTATGGCTTTTACTGCATTTGTAAATAACACAAAATATTCTTTGTGAGTAAAAATAACAGAACTATCTTATGAAGAGTGATTTACTTTTCCCGAAGAAAAAAGATACTTCATCATCTGACTTATATAACTGATGACGCTGGAAAAGTTCCGGCGGCCACCGGGCCACGTGTGTCTGCACTGTTGAAAAACTGGTGTCAGTGTTGACACACGAGTTTGGCGGCCTGTAGACATAATTAAGAAAAGATAAAAAAATTCTATACTAACATTTGAAATTCGCGTTCATAAGGTGGTGCTTCTGTATTCCTTAAACAGTACACCATTAAAATTAATGTGGCAAGTGCCGTAAGGTTCGGTAATCAGTAAACAGTAAAATACAAAGAAGAAATCTTTCAAAAGCACCTGTCAGCGTTTCGGGCAGGTCACTGAATATTGTTTTCAGATTCTTTCCAGGGTTGCCAACTCGGATTTTCAAATGTCGCTAGGCTGGTACCTAAAAGTAGCTAAATGTCGCTAAATCTTCCATGGAAAGTCGCTAGCTATTATTCCCCCCCTTCAGTAATTTGATGCAAATTATATTTTCATAATGCCGACTATAATGGACGGAGTATAAATAAAATGCATTATGTAAAAATAAAAATATTTTTTTTAAAGTTTAATGTGCACACTTACCTATTATTCAATAGTAATTGCATCCCAGTCCTCTTCGTAGTCGTCGGCAGTGTGAACAACTGTAGAGCTGGAAGCATGTGAAGTGCTTGGTTCAGGTTCTCTTGTAACTGTATGCCTCCACAGTCCCTATCTTTCTTAAAATATCACTAGGAAGTTCATAACTTGCACAACAGGTGTTCTGTCTTTTTAACCCATACTTTATTGTAAGAATTGCCTTTAATGTCGATAGTTTCATTTTGTTGCGCAATTTTGATTTCACAAAGTTCATATTACTAAATGTGCGCTCTACATCTGCGTTTGAATGCGGAAGAGATAAGGCAGCGAGTGCAATTTCAGCCAGATCATGGTAAGGGTTTTCACCTGTCGCATCTCTGTAATTTGCCACTTCTGACCACAATTTTAGGGTGTTAGATGTTTCTGTCCAGATTGTGTGATGCAGTTTTTTCCACTGGAAATCAATCTTGGTAAGGGTGCTGGAATCTTCTGTAAATAAGTGTGCCAAACCAAGTATATCTGATTTAATAGGCTTCAAGCATTCATCGGCACTCAGAAAAGAAATAGACTGCAGCACACGAATGTTGTCAGGTAAGCGTTGACGAAGTTGTTTTATGAGTTCAACCCGTTCAAATGCATTGTCCCTGTAACCCCGTTGCTATATATTATGGCTCGAAATTAGGAAAACCGAGTTTTCATGGACAGTCCAAAAGTATCCAGAAAGTCGCTAGATTTCTGTGGATATCTCTAGATTTGCGACAAGTCGCAAATCGCTCTAAAATGTCGCTAGAAAAAAACAAAAAGCTCTAGATCTAGCTACAAAGTCGCTAAGTTGGCAACTCTGATTCTTTCAATCTCCCGGTAAGATTCAGGGGCAGATCCAGGAAAATTAAAAGAGGGGGTCCAAGAAGTTGTGGGTGGGGGAACATGGTGGGCGCAGCCAGCCCACCCAACCGGGGGGGTTGGGGGGCTGGCGCTGTATGCCCCCAGATTTTTTTTTTTAAATGTGACCAATATTTTGGGCATTTTGAGGCCATTTTAAGGCCATGCGCACTTGATATTAGGGGATATTCTGAAGTCGATAGTAAATAATTGTTACTATACAAAAATGTCTGAGTACAATACAATGCTACATTAAAGAAAAATTATTGGTATTTTCTGGTGAAAAGGGGGTCTGGACCCCAGGATCCCCCCTACCCCGTGATCCGCCCTTGATAAGATGACTGAATAGTGGCGAAGAGGATAAAAGTAAAAGGCAACTAATGTATTACATGCACATTAATTCCTTTAAATCACATTTGATTACTATTATGCAGACTCTTAAGTATGGTAAAACAAAAAATATGTCCGCAAAATTAATAATTAAAAAAAAAACTAAAGTGAACCTCGGCGCTGGCGACTTTGATCAAAACATTGGTGACGTCATCTGTAAACAATAACAACCCTGGACGCTTATACTGCTTCACCACACGTGTAGTCCTTAGTTCAGTCTGCGTAATTTAATATGACGCTTAGTTTAAATGCCTGATAAGAGTAAAGATAAGAACAACCACTTGACGACAAGATAAAGTATCTAATCTAAGAGGTGGTGAATAATGGTAGCAACATCTTCACACTGTCCAGGTAGTTGGCCAGGTTTACCTTATCAGTCACAACTGGGACCTCTGCTGTGTCGACATGTCAATCTTGTCTACAGCATCGAATACATAGTAAGATGTTTCAATATCTAATTTTAAGAGGGCAGTGTTGGTGTGGTTATCTTATTTCCTGTTGAAAACGGATGTTGTCGTGATAACAAAGTCAGCAAAGTGACTATTGCCATATTACTTGGCTTAGTCTTGGTGGTGGCTCTACACTTTCTTGGCTGTCCAGGACACTGCTATAGTTTCATAGATTTTACCGGTACCTTCGGATTTTTTCTTCACAGCTTCTCAAAATGTAACTAAAGCTGCCCCTCGAGAGCTGCACATTATTACACCATACCCTGCACAAGAGGGTAATACTAGGGCAGACGACTAACACCAGAAGGCGTTGTTCAGTTTTTAATATTTTTTCCACAGATGTAACAATTATTTATTGTAATTGTAGTATAAGCATATTTAAAAACAAATTCTAGTTCTCTGCTGATCATAAATCATCTGTAGTGGGCAGGGTATGAAGTATGAGGAATATTGCATGGTAAAATACAGTGAAAAACTGATCATATGACACTAAAATGATGTCTCGATGTGCTTTGTACGCGAAGAAATTAATTGTTTACCATAAATATTAAGCCAAAAAAGTTGCCGTTTTTGGTGCGGTTGTTGTCTGCTCTTTACACTTGCACCAAGCGGGTCACTCGGTTCAAGTTTACTCTCACGTGTATAAAAAAACGTAAAATTACACCATACCACTTCAAGAAAGTTGCTTTTACTGTTACCAGATATCAAATTAAATACTTTATATTTAATGTGGCAGGGGTTTGCCTCCAGCTAGGAAGTTAGGTTACGTTAGGTTTGTTTCTTTGGTTGGTTAGGTCAGGTTCTATTAGGTTCTGCGCATTGCCGTATCATTTTTATTACTTACTATCATCCAAAGAAGATCTGTGGGAAAAATTAAGGAAATCAATCAATGCATTCTGATGCTCTAGGATCATCGATAATAGTGTAGAACAGTTGTGCCACTACACCAGTGTAGTTTAAATTTTATTTATCGGACGGGTGTTACTTGAATGTACTTTATGTAGTGGACCCAGTAGTGGAGTCGGTGCATACCCAATACATGTACAGCACTTTACTTGCCAAAAGTGTGCAACAGAGATGTGACTGCCGCCCAAGTAGCCTTGGAATCGAACCACCGACCCCTGTATCCATCTGTCTAAAATAAATTTTATATCATTATAATAAACAGTGTATGAATTGGTAACATTTCATTTGGTTTTCATTTGTTACGACTTATGTTTAACATACCAGTAATCAGTACACGACATACAGTAATGTGTTAACTCCTTGGATATGACTCTCTCTGCTGAATAAAATTTTCTGGCCAAATAAAATATTAAATGTGGCATCCAGTAGTGAAGGGTCAGGGCAAAGTTCTCTGTTGTTTTTGTTTGTTCTGGGGTATAGTTTATTGTCCCCTTTACAGTAGTTTAATTATAAAAGTTTCCTAAAAGATTTGTGTCATATGACCGGGAGAGTAACTTCTCAAAACTATGAATGTTTATTGAAGTTTTTAATACAAATAACTTGTATTTTTTCTCTTAAAGATACCGGTAGTACTGGTAACCTATCTGCTAGGTTACTAGAAACAAAGCTGTCAAATTCTATGACCTTGAACATTATGAGTTTAATGATTTTTAGTATGGATGGAGGAGATAATGAGATCATGTTTTAGCTTATCATCCTCTTAGTCATAACTATTTATAGATTCATTCTTGAATGTTCAACCATATTATATATGAAGTTGACTTAGTGGTTCATGATGTGTTCGGTCTAGATGTTTGTGTCATTATCTTTCCATAAAGTGGTAACACATACTGGGCAGAACCATCCAATCATTGTGCAACTGTGATATGATTTGTATTTTCAGTAGTACTGTACAGTATTATGGAAGAAAAACATACATTAAAGGTACCCTGTACATTCAAATCACTCTAATTTAAATGAATAAATAGGCAAGACATGACTAATTTATTTTATAAATAAATAAGTATCATTTAATGATAATCATTAATATTCTGTACACGTAGTGTGAATTAATCATTTAATACCATGAAACTTTAATGTTCCAGCATTTATTTACTACATTATAAATATTTTTATTAATTTATATACTCATTTTATTCACTCAACAATGTCAACTTCTGTATCCAATTAATGATTCTTTCAAATCTGTACAGTACATATTAGATTTTTTCAGGTTTATTTTACTTTGTGTTTATTACTGTACAGTACATTGTAAATACTGTATTTTTTCTGTTCAGTATTGTAAAGAAAGGGCCTTTTCTTTTCAGATGATGTGGTGAATACATCAACAGTATGGAATGGTTAGCAAAGAAGGTTGTAGCTGCTTTAGTCAATCGATTCTTTGGGCAGTACTTAGAAGATGTGAACACACAGGAGGTTAATGATGCCTTGTTGTCAGGTCAGGTCAACCTCACCAACCTCAAGATCAGACGGGATGCCCTGGTGAGTTCTTGGCTGCCTCTTGAAGGAGATAATTAACTATTTGACTGTTTAATGATATCTCAATAGAATTAAGAACTTGTTATAATCCTGCTCCAAGAATTACTAGTCTAATTGGCATAGAAAGTGTTGGTATAGTCCTTGTTATACAGTATTTTTATTTTGTCATTTTTAATGGTTAAGGCAGAGGGATCTGCTGAAGATTTGCCACAACTTATTTCACCTCATAATTACTAGTCACCCCAGCATTGCCTAGGGGCTTAGGTTAGGTTGCATTAGAGTGGTTAATCTTAAGTTGAAATAAGTTGAGAGGGTTAATCTTCAGGTGATCCTATCCAAGTCAAGTGTTTGTTGATGTTGTATATAGTATAGATATTCATAAACATTTTTCAGTAATAAAATGTGTTAGGTCAACCACAGTTTGGAGGGCTCATATTACAAAACAAATTCTCTCATCTGTCTTGCAGTCTTTTCTTGACATCTTCTATGGAAGTCCACTCCCCATAGAGGTGAAGAAGGGTGTAATTGGCAGGATATCTCTTACAATTCCCTTCAGTAGTTTCTTCACCCAGCCAGTGGTCATTAATATTGAGGTGAGTTAACAGTTGGTAGTGTGTTGGCTTATTAACCCCTTGTGTATGGGGTCCCCTCTGAGCTGAATAAAATCATCTGACTTTAGCCAAATAAAATGTTGAGTGGTGTCCATGTAGTGAAGGAGTTAATGGTGCTCCTGCTGGTATATGTATATCTTATTACTTGAAGATTGTTACTCTAATTATTATTCGTCAGCCACATATGACTTTGTATTGTATTTGTTCTACATTTTCCAGCAGTTTGCATAGCATTTTTGGTTAAAACTTTAATAAGATGGGTAATGCAATATAATATTTAGTCTCTAACATGGAAATTTAAGATTGATGTATTTTATTATGCACAGTTTTAAATCTTCAAAACTTGTAAGGGGAATGAACTTATAGTGTACAATATCAATATTGTAATAATAATAATTAATAATAATAATAATACTGTAATAACAACAATAATTAACTGTGGCTGTGCTCGTTCTGGTGTTTTTTGTTAGTTTTTTTCATAAAATAAATACTGTACAGTATACTGTATTAAAAACTTTGTGTGGAAACATAACATTTTCTTTTATTGAACTAAGAATTGTATCAGTTATCAGGTGACTGTGCATGATTTACTTATACTGTACCTGTACTGTATTTAGGATTTTGGTGTAAATGGCTGTAAAACATTTGAGATAATAATAACCAAAGTAATATAGATTGTTATTGTGGAATAATGCCATCACAAATTACCAGATTCTCTGTGTTATTCCCAGGATGTGTTTGTACTTGTAACTCCTGTGGTTGAATATGACGAGGAACGGGAGAGAGACCTGGAGCGGGCGAGGAAGAGACAGACCCTGGCATACTTATTTCCTGACCCAACACCTATTGATGAACTGCAAGATGCCACTACTCTCTGGGGTCTGCTTAATTTTATTGTTTTATGGAACAGTAGTGTCCAGTATATAAATCCATGAAACTGTAATCCTTTTTAGATATACCAGGAGCTGTTTTAAATATGTGGGAATTCTGTGATGCATATCTCTTAATCTTACAGTTTGGTCTCTTTATATACCTTTTGAAATATTATATAGCAGTACCATGTACCAGATACACATACAGTATTACCATAAGATGGGCTTTGGACAGTGTTTGAGGCTTTTCTAAGCTGCAGTTTAAGTCTGAAGGCAAAAATGCCTTTATTATGTATGCTATTGGTGTGTTAACTAATGGGCTATCCATACATGTCAACAGAAATTCAACAAACATCACATTTTCTGTAAAGATAAAATTTAAAGGTGTCTGAAGTTAACCTAGAGATGGGGTGACTTCGGACTAAAGTGTTAATTCAATGGCTGTACTGTACCTGTTAGAGTCTGTATGGACAGTCTGGGGATGGCTTCAGACATCAGTGAACTCAGAAGAAAAAAAATTGGGCAAAAATCTGCAGCAACAAAATTACTTATCCTGTAGCTGCTGTACAGATAAAAAATAGGAAGAAGATTCAAGACAAGGGAAAACTTTTCAAGAAAATTGTATTACAAGATATATCAAGCACCCCGGATTGTTAATAAATTATCAAGATAGACAAATTTATAATATTTTCACTAGTTATATTACTCTATGTACTCTGTTATGCTCCTGCCAGAGAAAGTTTTGCAACATTTAAAATATTTGGAAAAAATGGATTTTGATTATCGGCTTAACTTTATTATTTACTCTTTAAATTCGCAAATGATACTCACATGTGAAAACTACATAGTTAGGACAACATTTTGATGCTGAGAAAACTTTCCTTACTGTAACTGTCTAGGAACTGTCGCCTCTTCAACTTTTTTCCCAATTTTGTCCAACGCTACCCCCTGCATGAACTCTTACGGTACACATTTTCCCCTTCGATTTAATACATTAGAACAGTCACTAAATCATTATGAAGGTAACCCATCACACCTAAAATGTGGGCAGTTGGTGCTGTTCAAGGTGTTGAGGTGGTGATTAAGGCTACTCAGCAACATGAAAGTAAAGACTTGTAAGTGAAAAGTATGGTAGAATGGGCTGACACCACCACATTTAAAAACCTGTCAAATGTTTTATTACTTTCAGGTTTACTGTATAATAGAATATGGAACAACCTGGAGCTGCACATCAACAACGTCCACATACGGTACGAAGACACTAACTCCTGCCCGAGACCACTGGTTATTGGAGTGTGTTTGCAGAGTTTGTCAGCGGACACAACAAACCAGTAAGTGGGTTAATCATTTAAGTGTATGTGTGAACTTAACGTATTGCCAGTCAGACTGTCACTGTAGCTACACCCCCCTACCATTCCAGGCTGTGACCTGTGTTTTTGTTGTTTTTAACTCACAATTTGGGAAAGATTAACTTAATTTAAAAAAACAAATATTACTTCTTTTCATGCACTCATAATTAATCGTTCATACAGAATGTGTCCAAAAAATTACAGAAATAATTATCATAAGGTCAAAAACATAAAGGGAGTAAACATATCTTACGTGCATGAGAGTTAACACACAGAGCGGGGTAGGGGGGAGCGGCATGAGGGATCTCAGCTGTTCACTGTCTCATCTTCCGTGTGTAATGAAACAATTGTCAAATGGTAATGCAGTATTTTTTCTTTTATATATTATTATAATTTTATATATTCCTCACATTTGCTGATACATTATACTGTACACGCAACACAGTTCAGCCGGGCAATCACCAAGCTGACTCAAGAAAGGTGTGTGGCTGCTGTGTCACAAAGGGGGAGGGACAGTGCAGCTGACCGCAATTACAGCTCACTGCCTCAATGCATATGTCCACTTCCCACACATACACACCCATGCTCTTCATTTTTCTTATTTTATAATTTTATATTACATTTTCTTTATTTGTAAGCCACATTAGAGTATTGTAATGATCATTCCACAACTTTTATAGTTTCATTACTTGTAACAAAGGCAACATGCCATCTCACAGAACACCTCATCCTCGGTTTTTCCTCCATCATAGTGAGTCAAACATCGCTAAACTGAATGTTAATCAATCAGTAAGCAAGTAAGGGTGTTAAAATTTGATACTATATCACAAAACTAAAATATCGTAAAGTTAATTAATGTTAAACGACGGATACCTGTATGTAGTCATACTCCCACGTACAAGTACAAACTTACAAATACAATGCTTAAAAATACTTAAGCATACTCATGATAGCCTTCTTATACAAAACTGTATGTGCAGATACATGTACTGTATGCACATATATACAGGTATGGGACTGTTTATCTGGCATCCCAGTATCTAGAGCTCTCCAAAAATCGGTTATGTTCTGGAACAAATTGCCGTATTTGCCGGCATATAAGACGTCTTTTTTATTTTTTTTAAATGTATCACAAATTACCCTGCGTTTAATGCGCCCGTATTACGGATGGGAGGCCGAGCTCATTAGGCGGAGGTACCTAGCTAGGGAGTCTGGGACGAGCATTAGTCCACTAAGCACAAAATTTTTTTTACGAATAATAAAATACTGAAAAACAAGCCAAATTATCACAGTCTATTATCACAAACTTACTGCAAATTTGCCGAAGAATTAAATAATGGCTTACATTGGCTTAACGGCAGAGGGAAGCTCACACATCTCACTGTACTTCCTTCCCCAGCATATGTAACCCATACCAGATACATGTCTTACATTATTTAATGACTGTATTACCTTTAAGAAACATTTGTTTATTATCTAAATGAAAAATGCCCCTAGAAAGATTAAAGAAATGTTAACAGAAAGTTCAGCCATTTGCAGTGAGCCAATGATGCCAAAACAATAGCGATGGTGCTACACCCTGGTGGCAGATCGCGGCATCACAAAACATCACAGCTAAAAATACGAGTTTCACTTCCTGTCGGTAATTCTCTTGACCAAAATTTAAACAAGCTACACAGCTGCTCTGATCAGAGGTAGAGTTGTGTTAGAATTATGTTACTAAATTTGATTTCCTAATTGATTCCAGTATATATTGTATTTACATGCACAAAATCATATGTTTTCCCCTACTAAACCACTTTAAAATCACTTTTAATAATTGTATGACGAAACATACTAAAAAAAAAAAATTCCACAAAATATCCTTGTAAAATAGGGGTGCATCTTATGTGGTGCTGCGTCTTATATGCCTGCAAATACGGTATTTAAAATGAGTGTCAAAAGTGATTCCCAGGCCGAGCATAGATATTTCCAACCATTCCCCACCTGTGAGCTCTGTTACGGTAATTTTTCAACTAAATTTTGAATAAATACATCTTCTTTTCTTCATATTCTTTTGTCAGTTACATACACACTGAATCTTATATCCAAAAAGTGAAAAAAAAACTATCATAAAATCTAAAGTATTTTTGAACTCATAATTTTGGGTAGATACATGAATTTGTATTTATTTATTTTAATATATTTACTGTACAGTGGTCCCTCGGTTAACGAACACAATTTGTTCCACAGAGTCGTTCGTTAACCGAAAATTTCGTTAACCGAATCCATTGCTTCAATGGGATATTGGGTAATTGGTTCCAGCTCACAGAAAAGTACATACAAAGTAAAAAAAATGCAGTAAAGTACACTTACTTTGAGGTGTGTATGTAGAAGGTTCCTGGTTGATGATGATAATGGGAATTAAAAGTGGGGGTGGAGGAGAAGGGAGAAGAGAAGGAAGTGGGGATGGAGGAGAAATCACCTTTCAGGGGACCCATGCATGATGCAGTAATTTCACCAATAAAATTTTAAGTTCACTAGGTGTAATTCAAGATTATTTTATTTAAATCAACACTGCACTGTGCTATATATTATCAATATGTTAACTAAATTTCAGAATGACCAATAATTTTAATGTAGGAATGCAAAAATATTCAAGACACCAACAAAATCGATGTTCACTCCACTGTAAACAAAGCCAAACTGACGCCTGGTGGGCGAGTCAAGCGGCTGATGGGCGCACAAAGAACTAGTTTCCTGTACTGCATATATTATCAATATGTTAACTAAATTTTATAATGACTATTAATTTTAATATAAAAAATGCAAAAATATTAAAGAGCACAACATTCTTGATATTTACTCTACTGGAAACGAATGAAAACATAGAACAGATTACTAAATTGGCAGACTAGCCCATCAGCTGATCAGCTTATGCTCACAGCAAAACGTGTTTGTCGTAAGGATTTCGTTAATTGAAGTTTTGTTCGTTAACCGTTAACCGTTCGTTAACCGAGGGACCACTGTATATATTTTTTACTGGTACATGCACAGACAATCCTACATACAGAAAGTGTAAAAAGAAAAAAGAGAAATGATTATCATAAGTTATAAAGTTTTACATGTCTACGGTTGGCGAGTGGGTGGAGGCCAGAGGGTTCATGACGGAGCACCGTTGCTAAGGCAAATATCAGGGGCGACTACAACACTATGTGTACAGTAACTTGTATCACTTTTGCTCTTTTTATGCTTTCATTATTACTCTACTACAGTATTTATATTCTTTGTTATTGATATTTATATGTCTACAGTGTACAGTATAGTTAAAAACTACTTCTTGGGGTGAGTCTAGTGATCTGAACAGTCTTCTCAGACCTGGTGCTCCAGATTCAGGAAAAAAAAACTATCCGTCAACCCCCAGGTTCCAAGCATACCAGATAAATGTTCCCATACCTGTACCCTGTACAACTAAATATTGACATGTAGATGAATACTGAACTTAAACATCTCAATAAACACTGTACAGTACACACACAGTTACTATGTATATTGCTTTCATAGTTTAGAAAATGTTCACTACAGTATTAAAGTTCTTGTGACCTTCCAACTTTTCTTTTGTCCTTGTGTCCATTTTACCCTTCATGTTTTATTGTTTTTGTTTTTTTTAATACTCTGTACAGTATTTCAAACAATTTGTAATTGTTTTCACTAAATGGAAATATAGCTTCATCCTATAGGCAGAATACCGTACCAGTCAAAAGATACATTATCCAATATCTTATTTAATTTCCTTTTCCAAAACTTAATGAGACCATCTCCTGTTAGCCATTGAACACCATGGCAAAATACAGTAAATGAAGTCTCTATGACTCGCCCTTTTCTCTTGCCAATACATTACTTTCCTTTAGACTAGAGTTTACATGTTTTGCTGTATTTTATATAATTGACTCATCTCTTTCAGCTTTATCTCAGTCATTCTTTAAAGTTGAATATATAGTTACTTTCATTTACATTATTTCCTTTCATATGTATTTCAGTAAATGGAAAAAGGCCCATGTAGATGGAAATGCAGCGACAGTTAATAAGGTCATAGATTTTGTATCTGCCTCAATATACATCAATCCTGGGAGTGATCGTCAACGGCTGGTTAAACCTCACATAAGTTCAGAGCTGTGGCACCAATACCTACAACAGGGGCTTAACACTTTCTCTATTAACGATGAGCCCTTTCAGTTTGGTATGTTTATAAAGGCCTTTGTCTTGAGACTTGATATTAATGTGTGTTGTGTAATAACGTCAAGATCTTCAAGTAATTAAATGGTTTGTTACATCGTTGTGTTATGATGAAGAATGGTATAAAACTAGATGTGAAATATTTTAGTAGTACTTAGAGAGAGATTCCATATTTCTTTAGCTTTGTTTAGAATTAGAAAAATTATATGATTTAGTTCTCTACTTAACTACATCGGTGGGTTTAGTTCTTCAGCCAGTGCGATGCAAGGTTAAGATGCGGCAGCAGATGAGACGGGAAGCAAGAGTACCTGGGTTATTGGTAGATGCCGTTATCAAGGATGCTGCTCTAACTCTCTCACACCAACAGTACATTGCCCTGACTGAGTTGACAGAAGCTTTCAACATAACTAATACGAGCAGGTAAGTTCTCCATAGTTTATAAACATGTTTATACCTTTTATAAACCTGTATGATAACTTTACTGAATAAATAATAATAGTATTATTCTAAAAGAACTGAAATTTTAAGGGTACTATACATTAAGTCATTCTTAACTTTCAGACGCTTTTTGAAACATCGACCTGAAGTGCCCTTAAAGCGTCATGCAGAGGATTGGTGGCAGTACGCAGCCAATGCCATAATTCATGAGCAAATTCGACCTTATTCTTGGCCTGACATAAAGAAACACAGGTAGGGCAGCAAGCTGTACAGTATTGGTGTAGTTGAGCAATACAGTACCAGGTTAAAACATAGGCAGATAAAAGTGGTTGATATGGTAAATAAATTATATTGAAAGTGATAAGAAAAGTACTGTATATTTTAAAGCTGAAGCAACCTATGTGATCTGTTTTATTGATTACTAAGAGCAGGAAGTTCTTACCTTATCAGTCTTGTTGATGATGGCTCTCTTGGGTGGCATTCAGTGTAAAGCTCTCAGATGCAAGTGTGTCTGGTTACAGCTATATTTAATACTAATCCTTGTGAAATTTATCATCAACCTCATACATAAACATATATGAATGTAATTATGGCCACAGACTTTTGATATTAAGCTGAATTCTAAATAAACTCTTCTCTTGCAGGGCTATATACAGGAAGTACACACAGTTATACAAGAAGACTCTACTGGAAGGATACAGCAGTGAACTTGAAGCTGATTTGATGAGATTAGAAGATTCACTAAACCTCGCCAACATTGTTCTGGCCCGGATGCATGCCAAGATCAAGGTACTGTAGGTGGTGAAGGTTGTCTCTGTAAGATGTAAATTTTTTATCAAGCCACATCCTTCTGGACTTAAAAACACATCAAATTTCTTCCTTGAATTGATGATAAAATTAATTGTTATATTTTCACTTAATTCTAGCTAACAGTGACTAAAGTACCAGAAAATACACTGTAAAATAGTTAGAATTAGTCATCCAAAAATTCTGTATATTAGAACTAAATGTTTTTGTTTCTGATTGCAGATCTCTCAGGATGAACCAAGTCTAGTCCATCCAGTAGAGTCCTCCAGTGAAAGCTGGTTGTCCTGGTTATGGGGGAGAGGAAGTGATAATGATGTAAATGATGAAGAGACCGTAGACATTGTGGGGAGTCGGAGAAAGAATGGGCCGTTTACCTCCCTGACCGAAGATGAGCGGCGGCAGCTTCGTGCAGCTCTCCTACAGTTAGAAGCACCAAGAAATGATATGCATAGAGATGATATTGGTATGTTACACCATTACAGTCCATATTATGCATTGTAAAGAGGATTCCCTACCTGATGAAGGGAAAGATGAGTTAGTTCATTCATATGAGACATGACTACATAGGTGACATGTCAACTTGGGAATATTAGTTGAGGAACGTTATTGAAAAGGAGGAGATTAGGTATACAGCATTAATGATCCCTTTACATAGACTTATGGAAGGATTTTATTAACACTATGTCGGTCTAGGGAAGGTAAACATGGTAGTAGTTATCGTCTAATGGGCAGCGGAATTGAAAATACAGTATTACCTCTATACCAAACTTATTTATACAAAAATTCACAAGACAGTATACCAAACCAACCCTCAGATTTCAGTAGTACAGGTACTTCTCTATTCCAAACAAATTCGCTGTTTACTGAACCCTCTACTGAACCCCTCCTCAAGTGTCTACAATATTTAAATATACAGTGGTCCCTCGGTTAACTAACACAATTCGTTCCAGAAGGTCGTTCGTTAACCGAAACCATTGTTTCAATGTGATTTTGGGTAATTGGTTCCAGCTCACTGAAAATTACATACAAACTAAAATTAATGCAGTAAAGTACACTTACTTTGAGGTGTGCATGTAGAAGGCTCCTGGTTGATGATGATGATGATGGGAATTAGAGGGTGGAGGAGAATGGAGAAGAGAAGACAGTGGGGCGGAAGAGAAATCACCCCATGCTTCATGCCGCCATTTCACCCATAAAATTTTAAGTTCACTTGGTGTAATTCAAAATTATTTTCTTTAAATCAACACTGCACTGCACTATATATTGTCAATATGTGAAATCAATTTCAGAATGACCAATAATTGTTCTGTAAAAATGTAAAAATAGTTTATGTTCAAGAGAGTCTCAAGCAAGATGCTTCCTCCACTGAGCAGAAACACAAACTGACGCCATTCTGGGTGAGTCAAGTGGCTGTTTGGCGCGCTAAAAACTAGTTCCCTGTACTTCAATTATGTTAAATAATTGTTAAAATGACTAATAAGTTTAATATAAGACTTGGAAAATTATTGAATAGTACAACCTTCTTGATATTTACTCAAATGGTAACAAATTTAAGCCCTAAAACTGATTACTGTATTGGCAGACTAATACTCTAGCTGGTGAGCAGGCAAAAGCAGGTGAAAACATGTTGACACGATTTCGTAAGGATTTCATTAACCGAATTTTTGTTCATTAATCGAGTTGAAGATTCTTATGGAAGGTAATTAGTTAAATGAAATTTCGTTAACTGAGGCGTTCGTTAACCGAGGGGTCACTGTACAGTAAAAACCTCGAGTACCGGACCACTTGAGTATAAACATGTCCGACAAATTGCATTAATCTTGGAAAAAAATATATCTTGCATATCTTGCCGGTCATTGTTATTGTTGTGAAACTACACAACATGGACCACATGGTCCCGCCAGCCCAGCCCGCATCTCAATAACACAGCTGCTGCACTCAGTCTACATGTGGCTATTAATCAGTGCAGACATGCCTGTTCTCTCATGACTGTACAGTGGTCCCTCGGTTAACGAACGCTACGGTTAACGAAATTCTGGTTAAAGAATTACCATCCATAAGAATCTTCAATTCGGTTAACAAAAAGAAATTTGATTAACGAAATCCTTACAAAAATCACGTTTTGTTTTGAACATCAACTGATAAGCTGAGGGGGTACTCACCCAATTCAGTAATCTCTTCTATGTTTACATTCGTTTCCAATGGAGTAAATATCAAGAAAATTTTGCACTTTAATATTTGTGCATTTTTTATACAGTATTAAAATTATTGGTCATTCTAAAATTTAGCCATCCAAGCTCTGTCTACATAAAGTTTTTAAACTATTAATTTTGGCTCGATATATGTAACTTTATTCATTTATTGAAACTCATTTACATGCACACGCTGTCCTAAGGGCAAAGCTGAACTGTACATGTAATCAAAATAATGTACAAAATGATTACTAAAATTTTTGTCGAGTGCAAACTATGGCATGTTTACATTCAAATTAATCACTATCTTATAAGAATTCCAGCAATGTGAATTATATTCTCCCCGGTCACTTCTATGCAATTTTATGAGCAAAAAACAAAAAATCAACTAAACGACATAAATACAGTAAACAAATAAATACTTCACCAGACCTTTGGCACTAACTGTCAAACATGTCACTGTCATCCCTCCCTCCCTCCCTCCCTCCCTCCCTCTCCCCCCTCCTCCCAGCAAAGGTTTCGTGGTTACACAGTACAGTAGGCTTTAAATTTTTATCTTATATAATATCACAGACTAAAGTTGGGAGAATGTAATTTGCATTGCTGGAATCCTTGCAAGACAGCGAATAATTTGAATATAAACATCATATATTTTGCACAAGAAATAAAAAATTTTGCTCTCTGTAATAAAATTCTTAAATTAGATCTAAAATTTGTATGTCTAATGCAAATTATAGCTTGTTTATATTCAAATTAATCATTATCTTATAAGAATTCCAGCACTGTTAATTATATTCTCCCAGGTCATTTCACTGGCATTTTAAAATGAGAGAAGCTTAGTAGGACTGTTAAATAAACACACAGGAGACCTTCGGCTCAAACTGTCAAACATATCACCTCACTCCCTCCCAGCCAGGGTTTTAGGCTTACAGTTTTTATCTTATATAATATCTCAGACTAAAGTTCGGAGAATATAATTTGCATTGCTGGAATCCTTGCAGGACATCGAATAATTTGAATATAAACGTCATATATTTTGTACAAGAGATAAATATTAATCACCTGCATCACATTACAGTATTGATTTAAGAGTAAGAGTGTATATGTACGTATATATATACAGTATATATACCGGTAATGATTTAAGGGCGATTTAGAAGAATTTTAGGAGTGTTTCCGACTTTATGCATTTTTGGCTTTACTTTGTATATACTTTTATGTGAGCTGGAACCAATTACCCAATATCCCATAGAAACAATGGTTTTGGTTAACGTAATTTTCGGTTAGCGAATGACCCTCTGGAAGAATTGAGTTCGTTAACCGAGGGACCACTGTATAAATAACACAATGTGAGAACAATGCCCAAGCAAGTACATTTGGGTGAGGCTACAAAGAGCAGAAAACACCTTGAAGTGTCCAACAATAAATGCTGTTCCTGTGATTATGCAGAAATTTGGAAGTCTGAATTTGCTGAAAGCAGATCGTAAGTGTGTTCCACTTCATTTTCACTGAAAGTGGGTTCCATGCACACCCACATAATCTTCATTATATAACACACATCGCCACTAGGCAGCTGTGGCCTTGAGATGGCTACGTTGCCACTGATTCATGAAATGAAACTGTACATTATTCTCTTTTAGTGATCAGGATGCATTCCTGAAAACCGATCACGAAGTGAAATTATCACTAAATGAGGGGAAAACGAGAAATATTATCCTTAACAATAAAGAAAATACCGTACAGTACTGTATTACTGTATACAGTACAGTACAGTACAGTACAGTATTTTAAAGGGATATTAAAGTAAATAATACAGTAATAAATAAATGTAACACATTGTGAGGTGAGCTGATATGTAGATGATATTTTGAAAGTGTAATGGTCACACTGGTAAATGAAGTAAAAACCCTCATTGGAGAAATAAAAGACAAAATCTTGAGGCTAGTAATATACAAGGACCCTCTTCAGTCAACTAACAGAACAAAGGAAGGGAGAAAGACAGAACAAAGGTTTCAGGTCACATGACCTCTCTTCTTAGCTGAGGCAGGGTGGGGATAATCTTCTTGATGACAGTACAGTATTCAGGATTAGTTAGTGGTGGAATGACTCGGCAGAAGTTTCCCTTCTCCATTATCGGAGGCTTCGTGACCCTGTTAAAATCATACATAGTAACTTTACCACAATCCCCATATTGTTTAGTTTCATTTGGTGTCTGGTTCATAAAAAATTATCATAAACTAATAAATTTTCATGAAAAAATCACACACTCAACCCCAGTTATTGTGTGTATGAAATTCCTGGTGTTCTGTTTACATTTATGAACAGCTGTGACCACCAAGCCAGCCAAGGAAGGAGCTGCTTGTGTAATATAGACCTACAGTACTTATTGTAAAATTCATATCTGTTTTATTGTGTTTTTGATCTACTGTATTATGTATGATTTTTAGTATTTGTTGAAGTCTTGTGGTACCAAACTATATTTTATAAAACAAAACAATTCATTTTTGTGATGATTTATCTGGACCAAAAATACCAAACTTTTTCATGTTTATTTTATATCGAAACACTCGCTACTGTATGCCGAACGGGCTGCTCACTACTTAGTTCAGTATAAAGAGGCAATACTGTATACAGTACAGTATCTTATTTTCAATCAAGGTTCTCTAAGTGCACCGAGATTATTAAAGGTGAAAGTGTATACAGTAATTAACTGTAATACGAGATCAGTAAATACCCTCATTGTAAAGATTTGTAAGTTGTAGGATGTATTAATTTCAGGAATGATTAAGAGGTTTTGGTACGTATGTTACGTTAGGTTAAGTGCTGATATGAAAGTGAAAAATACAGCTATGATTAGGAGTTATAAATAGTTTATTTTTATGTAGATAATAGAAATATATTACTGTAGATGGTTTATCTTTGAATGAATATGGGACAGTATGAAAATATATTAAGGTTACTGATACTGCTAGAACAAGCCCAACCTGTGAGGTAGAAGGCTCAAATATTCAGGGGATAAAATTTCTGATGAGATTGCTAAGATTTTTAATATTCACACCGTTAAATGCATTCATGTTTTATTTTCCCGTGTTACAGATCACAAGGCATATTTGTCTCTCCAAAACGTGAGCTTAACCCTCAAGGATGACGTGCATGACGTAGCACTGGCATCTCTGTCTGGGTTCGTCATGAGTGCAGAAAATCGCTACGGTGTCAAATACCAGAAACTATCAGTCAAAGCGGAATCGTTTAATTTAGAAGCTTCAAATATGGAACAAGAGTTAGTGTACATTATGAAGCTAGTGGACAGTACACCATCGGCAGGTAGGGTAATGTTGTACAGTACTATACCCTGCCAGTGACAGTATACATTAAAGAACTCAGTATCTTGGAGGCTGTTGTGTATAATATTCACCTGTATGTTAGTTTCTCTTCTTTCCATTATACATAACTGTTTTGATTCTTCATCTTAATATTAATTTGGAGATTTTGGAAATGGCCTCAGCAGCTCATGAAAGCTTACTCTCTTTTTATACACAAAGTTTGCCACTGAATATATTGTACCATAATTTAAAAAAAATCAATTATTGTTCTTATAATTTGTTAAGATGGTATGGATATAGTGAGAGAATAAGGTGGGAAATATTGGTAAACAGAGTGTATAGTGCAGAGACAGACGATAGGAAGGAAATAGGAAAAACCAAGAATTAAGTTGAGAAACATCAAGGAGATAAAAGGATGGGGATAATGTACTAGATATGAGGATGAAGGAGAGATAGGAGACCATGATATCCTGCTGTTTATGAGAATGTTGCAATAGTTAGAGTTGATGGATGACAGTAAATGAAAAGTCTGTGTTTATTCTTGGTTCCTGTCACCATCAGCACTGTCAGGAGGATGACTTGTAGGATCGAAGAAAAATATATAAATTGAGATTCTAAATTATATATATACTTCATTCTTCTGTCTGCAGGTTATGGGATTGCTTTTTCAATTGACTTGGAACGTAATCCCTTGAATGTGGGATCTGACTATGCTGTGACTTTGAAGTTGGATCCCCTGGAACTCCTTTACAATCAGGTGCCTTATTGTTACCCTTTTGTTCATGAACACTAATTTACTCTACCCTCTTCTCCACTGATCAGCCAGTTAGTTGCTTGGGCAGTCAGTCATTCCTCTTTTATTCTCTGTTGGCAAGTACAGTACTGGACATGTACTGGCTCCAGATTGTATTTGAACCTGTGCCAGTGTTGATTAATTTGTTCTTAAATGATTTCACACTCGATGTTATCACAACACTTTTTGGCATGTTATTTATTCCAAGAGTTCTTTCCTGTATTGAAAATGTAATCTATTTATGATGGAGATTTAATTATAACATGGCTATTGACTGTAAACTCATGTCTAAGTAATGAAATTGTAGTGAAAGAATGCGAAGTACTGTATTGTAACTGCACACAATCTATAACTTATCATTCATCAACAAGGTTGAGTATATGTATATCCAAGTGAGTGGCATCATTCCTGTGATCTGAGCATGAGAAGGTGGATTATGCTGTCCACAAGAGATGGTCAAGTTTAAGATAACCCCCATAATGCAAAACTAGTGAAGTTTTAAGTAATAATTCATAGATATGTATAAGGTGAGAGTATTGTAATACGGAACACGTAGAAACAAAAAACTGTATATTTTGTTATTCACTGTAGTTGTGTTAGTAATGGTAAGGGCAATTGAATATACAGAATGCACATTTATCCAGAGTACAGAATCACCACCAAGGGGTGGAGCATTACTCCTGCAAGAAACTGTACCTTGTAAAAGAGAATACAGGTCAGTCAGAGTCAAGCATAGGTTGCAGGGATACTCACTTGGAATTTATAGATTCAGGACAGTGAGTGGATAGTGTTTTTATACGAGTATACTGTAGTGTTGTGATGGTGTTTTAGAATGTGTTGTGAGTTTGTGATTCATGAGATGCTGCATGATGCTGTTATTTACTATATTCTAAACAGATTGCATCCTTTTTGATTCATAATACTACTGGATGAAAATCAGATAAGTTAAATCCTTCACTTAACGCGGTCAATTGAACCCAGAGGTCCCATTATGAATAAGTATGAACAACAGAACATATGGGATTAATTCCAATAGAAACCGGCCCGACCCCCAAACTCCACTTTTGAAGGCACATACCTATGTTGTAGTAAAAATAACATCTTAATTTTATGATGGTACATGCACACAATTAATACTTAAGAGAAATAGAGAAATACAGTCGCCAAGTTAATGTCCATTCAAATAATGGACTCAACTCCCTCCCCTCTCTCACACTACACTCACTGGCTCTTCCCTCTCAGAGAAATTTTTGGGGGAAAACCACTAAATTTTAATAAATAATACCTCAAACTAAAGTTAGGATAATACAATTGACATTGCTGGATTCCTTGTAAGACCAGGAATATTTTGAATATAAATGTCATATATTTTGCACAAAAGATAACATAGTTACCTAGAGAAAAAATTTTATCTAAAAATTGTATGTTTAATGCAAAATATATGATGTTTATATTCAAAATGATCACCAAATTATAAGAATTCCAGCAATGTAAATTATATTCTGACCGGGTAATTTGTATGAATTTTATGAGCTAAAACAAATATCTTCAGTTAATAAAAAAAAAAATAATCTTCACAACACTATCTGTCAATCAAAGTACCCCACCTTGCCTCCCCCCTCTTCCAACCGCGCGGTCAGTCCCAACCCTCCCCCCCACCCCCCACCAATCCTCCCTTCCAGAGTTTTTAACATTTAGTATTAAATAATACCTCAGATTAAAGTTAGGATAATATAATTGACATTGCTGGATTCCTTGTAAGACCAGGAATATTTTGAATATAAATGTCATATATTTTGCACAAAAGATAACATAGTTACCTAGAGAAAAAATTTTATCTAAAATTTGTATGTCTAATGCAAAATATATGATGTTTTATGATCATCAAATTATAAGAATTCCAGCAATGTAAATTATATTCTGACCGGGTAATTTGTATGAATTTTATGAGCTAAAACAAATATCTTCAGTTAATAAAAAAAAATAATAATTCTTCACAGGGTAACAGATGGTCGGTTGGTCCCTCCCTCCCCCCCACCCCCACCAACCGTCCTAAGGAGATGTGTGGGATAACCACTAAATTTTAATAAATAATACCTCAAACTAAAGTTAGGATAATATAATTGACATTGCTGGATTTTGTAAGACCAGGAATATTTTGAATATAAATGTCATATATTTTGCACAAAAGATAACATAGTTACCTAGAGAAAAAATTTTATCTAAAAATTGTATGTTTAATGCAAAATATATGATGTTTATATTCAAAATGATCACCAAATTATAAGAATTCCAGCAATGTAAATTATATTCTGGCCTGGTAATTTGTATGAATTTTATGAGCTAAAACAGGCAGTCAGGCAGGGTGGGGGTGGGAAATCTAAAAATAGCGTCTCGAGCCGGACACTCACCGCGTATATGTGGAAAAAATCCCGTTAAGTGAAAGTTCAGCTCTGGCGAGGCACCGCGTATATGGTAAAACGCGTTAAGTGAAACCGCGTTAGGCGGGGTAATACTGTATAATTTGTTTATCCATTTTCACTAAACTGAACATCCTGCTTTTTATTTTTGTTATAAGATAGTTCTGCAATTCAGTTTTTTCATTACTTTTAGTAGTGTACAGAAAATATGCCCATACGTAACAATCCTACATATGTTTCATTAGTTATTCCCTTGAGTATGTTTAATTTATAAATAAATTTATTTTTCTCGGCAGCATGCTTGTTGTGAGATGGTCTACTTCTTCAGAGTGCCCAACATGCAGTACCGACCATTTGAAGATGTTGCCAAAGATACACTCAATGAGGTTGTCAACACCGGGAGAGCCGCCATGGAGTATGCCATCGCTCGACACAAGACAGTCAACCTGGACATTGACATCAAGAGCCCTTATATTGTCTTACCAGAACATGGTTCAATTCAGAGAGGTGGAAATGTACTAGTGCTGGACATAGGAGGCTTGAAGGTCAACAGTGAAATTGGTGGACAGACAGTGGACCTGGAAGATGCTACGAGAATGGAATTAGAGGAGCGACTTTATGATCGTCTAACAATCACCGTGTCACAGCTGCAAGTTCTGTTTGCCGATTCAGGGGACGAGTGGAGAGTTCACAGAACACGAGATGACTCGGATTCTCACTTACTCCCCAGAGTCAGAGTAAAGATCGATCTTGCCAACAGTATACATCCTGAGTATCGACATCAGCCGAGGCAGAAAGTGGATATTCACATAACTCCTCTGAAACTTAATCTTTCAGACAATAAGTTAAGTCACTTGGTGGAGTTTGCACATCACTTACCAGTGTTAGAATCTGGCATAATTGTCCCAGATACTATAGACAGTGTTACATCAAGAAGATACCAACTGGATCTTTATCATTGTTTATTAGATCCAAATGTCTCAGAACTAACAAACATAAGAGACAAACTTTCAAACAAACTAAAAAAGAAGAAATTAGTTGCAGACTCAATAGATACACACACAACACCTCCTTTGCTCAGACATGTCCGACCACTCTCACAAAGTGACACCATATCTCAAACAAGCCTGGAACTGGAAAAGTATTTCTCTTCATCAGATAACAGTGATGATGAAGGAGAGTCATGGGGTAAACCAGTTGACCTGCCTGGGTTCGAGGACAACACTTCACCCAAAAATATGATAACCGTCTTATCTCGATTTTGCATAGACGAAATAGTGATTGGCATATCCAGATCAAGCGAGTACGGAGACAGACCGTACCTGATGATAAAAGCAACTCATTTAGTGATTGAGTCAGCCATGATGGATTATGGTCCAGCTATACAATTGACACTCAGTTCACTTCATCTGGTTGACAAGTACCACCACAGCCCAACAGGAGAGTACCTGGAGTTAGTGTCATCTCCACAAATGGGTAATGTGTGTATCGCCACTGTATTGTATCGAAAGGTTCGTGCCAATTGTCCAGACTTTAAAACCCATTTTCATTCCTGTGAACAAAGTTTAGTGCTAGACTTTGCGACCCTCAATGTTGTGTGGCATCGAGGATCTATTATAACTCTTACAAATTTCCTCACATTGCTTTCAGGAAAACTAGGACATGTAGAGCAACAAATTCCAAAAGTCAGTATTCCAAACAATTTTGTGGCATGGGTAAAGTCTGGTCCTGAAGACCCACCAGTTCCTTCAGGGGCAACCAAGTGGTCCTTTGCCTCACACCTCAATACGCTCAATCTCAAACTCTGTGATAATGAAGTGGACTTCTTACAAGCTAAGGTTGGAGGTTTTCAGGGAGAATGTGTCTTTAAAGCTAATGAAAAAAAGATATTTCGCGCATCACTTTCTGAATTATCCGTAGATGATGTATCTGACATAACTCTTCACTCACGGATCATTGACCTTGAAGAAGATAGAGTGTTTGATATGAAACTTGTCCATTTTAGCCCCACACACATAGGTGTAGAAGAAATAGATACTTCTCCACTTGCAGTGAATCCTGATGCTTCCCTGAGGATCAGAATTTGTAGAATGCAATGTATCTTTCTTTGCAAATTCTTTGCTGATCTCCAGCGATTTATGGAACCTCTTTTGAACAGGGAAGGAACGCAGGTTGCCATTAAACAAGCAGAAAAAACAGTGGAGGCAAGTATTGAAGAATTCATCTCAGGAAGGAAACTTAGTTTAAGTATTGATATTCACGCTCCCACTGTTCTTGTTCCTCAGAAGTCTGATTCTCCCAGTTTGTTGGTGCTGAGCCTCGGGGACCTGAAGATAGATAACTTGTTTAAACTTGCACCCACGAGTGGAGGAGGAACAATTGAAAATGTTTTAGTGGAATTGGGACCTATGCACGTGTGTCGAGCTGTGATGACTCTTGGAGGTGGATTAGATATGCAAGAGTACATACTGGAGCCTGCTACTCTGAGGGCTGATATTAAGCGTTCACTTATTCCACAGTGTCGGGACCTTCTCTCCTGGGACATAAGTGTTCACATGGGGACCCTCTGTGTGAACTTAGGGCAACGTGATCTCAACACCATATTGGCTGTTATGACCCAAAACAAAGCAGAAGCCCAGTTCACGGACACTAGCATACATTCCCAGCCTCTGACACCAGTAGATCTTGGGACACCACTTGCTGGCAGTGATGATAATATGGGCAAACTACAAGCTTTCTTGACGCATTCAATTGACATTTATCGAATTGCAGATGCCCTTGTGTCAATGGATGGATTAACTCTAACACTCTATACTGACATGGATGAGGTACTGAGCTCACCAGTTCGTGATGCAGCAACTGCATTGTGTCGCTTAGAAGTTGGAGAAATTGAGGTACACGGTGATATGAACAGTGATCGAAGTATGGATGTGCGACTCACTCTACATTCCTGTGATTTGTTTGACGTAAGACCCGACAATGATTATCATGTGATTAAAAAGATATTTGGACAGTATAATAGTGAGATACAAATGACCTCTGGAAGATTTAGTGTGAGTGTCCCACCCATGATGGATCTCATGTACAAAGTTAGTCCCAATGGTGATGCAGCCGTTGAAGTGAGCATAGAAAGAACACGGTTTAACATGTCTGTTGGCTTTGCCTTGGCTCTATACAGGTATGTTAATGATGCCATCCCGAGTACTGCAAGCACAAGTGGAGGGATTCTAAATCCAGGGTTTGTTGGGGACTTTGGTACGACTGTAGATGGTGTCAGAATTATTCGACGTCCACCCAGTTCAGTGGACAGTACCAGTGGCTACCTCTCTACTGTAACTAGTAACACGGATGAACAAAAAACACTTTCAATTTCTCTGAAGGTCAAACAACCAGAAATAGTGTTGTTTGCCGACCCGGAGGTAAAGATTAGTCGTGTGTTAGTTGTGAAATGTGAAGTCCATGTCGATTACTCTCGACACCCAGGGAATGAGAGCTTTCACATAACCTTAGATAGGTGCCAGATGTTTGCCACAATGTACACTCACACTGGACAAAGTCCTTATTCTATCATGGAGCCATGTGATATTGAAGGGAACTGGATATTTCGCAGTGTTGAGGAAGGTGTGAGAGCAGAGTTGAAAGTAACTCACATTCATCTTCATTTGAACCCTCCTGTGGTTCACCTCTTGATGGATGTCACTGAGGAACTGAACATGAGCATGAGTCCACAGTTGGTGCCCATCAAGCTTCAACTTCCACATGCTGACTTAGAAGACTTGTGGTCCCCTAAGCCACTTGTGGCAACAGTGTCACCAATTAATCCAGATGAAGAAATCTACATCAAACCTGAGTATCCATCAGCCAAACCACAGCAACGTTTAGTCATCAAGATGTCTGCAATTACAGTTTCCTTTGAAAAACAGGCACTTAAGACGGTCGTACCTGTACTTCTCCTTAATGCAGCTATGAATGCAGAATTTAATGACTGGTCTAAGCTAATGTATACCAAAGCAGAAATGCAGTTGCAGTTATCCTGTTATAGTGAAGAGTTTTCTACCTGGGAACCTGTCATTGAGCCTGTCACTGATACCAACAAGGTAATGAGACCCTGGGAAGCCATCATACGCACACTTCAACATCAGGCTCAGCCCATCGGTATTAAGCGCAGCCGACCGGGGCGTCATTACGACTCTATTGATAGCAGTTCCACAGCGAACAGAAATAGTTATCTTAGTTTTCCATTCGAAGACTCCGAATCATCCACTGATGAAGAATATCAAGACAATGAAATGGTCGTTCTCAGGCCACATGCGGCGTCAAAACTGAAGCGCTCCAATGCCAAACGTTCAACAGCTGACTTAGGTAATCTTTCAGGTAATGTACATAATATATTATTATTACTGTTGTTTTATATACTGTAGTGGAAAACTCAGCATCTAAAATAAATAGAAGTAATGTTGTATAATAACGGATTGTTCTGTAAGTGTGGCCAGATATTTATATTTGCATATATTTACTGGGCGTCCTCACCCTCGTGTATGAAAAACTTGATAACGTTACTCGAAACATTTGAGGAGAACTCAGCTTGTTGATGAGTTAACACATTAGGTTACTTTAAGACTGTAGTGTAGTGAGTTGAACAAAATCCCACTGTAGGAGAAGATAGAAAAATAAGAGCACTGTATAGGTCCTCTTCAGTCAAAATATACAATACAGTATTCTCGTTTTTCTCTCTTATACAGTGGGATTCGGTGCTATCATTTGTATGGTATTACATAATTTCTTTGGTTAAATAGTGAGAAGTTGTGAGAGTAACTCCAGCAAGTACATATACAGTACTGTACAACAAGATGGGGAGAAATAAATAATCAGATTTTTTTTTATTGGGGGGGGGGGGGTAAATACAATAGTGTCAAAGTGCAAAAGAAAACATTTGTAAAAATATTCATGATTAAAAGTAGTGCAAAATTTTAGATTGTTTACTTAGTCAAATAAGTGTGTTATAAAAGCCTTTCTTCAGGGACTATTCTCATGCAGCCTGTTTCAAACTCTCTTCAGGTGTAAACATTATTCATGAAGGTGCTCTACCACAATACTGGACATTAAGCTTGAACTAAGGTTAACATTGGCTTGGGATTATTCTCATATTGGTTTTATAAAGTTGACACTGTAACTCCTACCCTCCCCTACATGTGTTACTGACCTCCCCCTACATGTGTTACTGACCTCCCCACATGTGTTACTGACCTCCCTCACATGTGTGTTACTGGACTTCCCCTACATGTGCTACTGACCTCCCCCCACATGTGTTACTGACCTCCCCTACATGTGTTACTGACCTCCCCCCACATGTGTTACTGACCTCCCCCCACATGTGTTACTGACCTCCCCCACATGTGTTACTGACCCCCACATGTGTTACTGACCTCCTCTACATGTGTTACTGACCTCCCCACATGTGTTACTGACCTCCCCCTCACATGTGTTACTGACCTCCCCACATGTGTTACTGACCTCCCCTCACATGTTACTAACCTCCTCTACATGTGTTACTGACCTCCCCATGTGTTACTGACCTCCCCCTCATATGTGTTACTGACCTCCCCTACATGTGTTACTGACCTCCCTCACAGTGTGTTACTGACCTCCCCTACATGTGTTACTGACCTCCCCTACATGTGTTACTGACCTCCCTACATGTGTTACTGACCCCCCTACATGTGTTACTGACTCCCCCTACATGTGTTACTGACCTCCCCCCATGTGTGCCATTGACCTCCCCACATGTGTTACTGACCTCCCCCCACATGTGTTACTGACCTCCCCCCTACATGTGTAACTGACCTCCCCTACATGTGTTACTGACCTCCCCACATGTGTGTTACTGACCTCCCCCCACATGTTACTTTACCTCCCCCCCACATGTGTTACTGACCTCCCCACATGTTACTGACCTCCCTACATGTTACTAACCTCCCTCTACATGTGTTACTGACCTCCCCTACATGTGTTAACACCTCTACATGTGTTACTGACCTCCCTCTACATGTGTTACTTAACCCTCCCTCTACATGTGTGTTACTGACCTCCCCCACATGTGTTACTGACCTACCCCTACATGTGTTACTGACCTCCCTCTACATGTGTGTTACTAACCTCCCCTACATGTGTTAACCTCCCCACATGTGTACTGACCTCCCTGCCATGTGTTACTGACCTCCCCCTACATGTGTTATTGACCTCCCCCTGCATGTGTGTGTGTTACTGACCTCCCCCACATGTGTTACTAACCTCCTCACATGTGTTACTGACCTCCCCCTCACATGTGTTACTGACCCTCTCATGTGTTACTGGACCTCCCTACATGTGTTATTGACCTCCCCCTGCATGTGTTACTGACCTCCCTCACATGTGTTACTGACCTCCCTACATGTGTTCTAACCTCCCTCTACATGTGTTACTGACCTCCCTGCATGTGTTACCACCCCCCATGTGTTACTGACCTCTACATGTGTTACTAACCTCCTCTACATGTGTTACTGACCTCCCCCTGCATGTGTTACTGACCTCTACATGTGTTACTGACCTCCCCCACATGTGTTATCATTGACCTCCCCCCCTGCATGTGTTACTGACTCTACATGTGTTACTAACCTCCCTCTACATGTGTGTGTTACTGACCTCCCTACATGTGTTACTGACCTCCCACATGTGTGCTATTTGACCTCCCCTACATGTGTTACTGACCTCCCTACATGTGTTACTGACCTCCCCCACATGTTACTAACCTCCCCTACATGTGTTACTGACCTCCCTCTACATGTCTTACTGACCTCTCTCACATGTGTTACTTTCAACCTCCCCACATGTGTTACTGACCTCCTACATGTGTTACTGACCTCCCCTACATGTGTTATTAACCTCTACATGTGTTATTGACCTCCCCTCTATACATGTGTTACTGACCTCCCTACATGTGTGTTACTGACTCCCCCCTACATGTGTTAATACTGACCTCCCCCCACATGTTACTGACCTCCCCACATGTTACTGACCTCCCCCTACATGTGTTACTGACCTCTACATGTGTTACTGACCTCCCCTTACATGTGTTATTGACCTCCCCCTGCATGTGTTACTGACCTCCTCTACATGTGTGTTACTAACCTCCTCCACATGTGTTACTGACCTCCCCCACATGTGTTACTGACCCTCCCCCCACATGTGTTATTGACCTCCCCTGCATGTGTTACTGACCTCCCCACATGTGTTACTGCTAACCTCCCCACATGTGTTACTGACCTCCCTCACATGTGTGTTACTGACCTCCTCTACATGTGTTACTAACCTCCCTCTACATGTGTGTTACTGACCTCCCCACATGTGTTACTAACCTCCCCACATGTGTTACTGACCTCCCCACATGTTACTGACCCCCCTACATGTGTTACTGACCTCCCCCCTACATGTGTTACTAACCTCCCTCACATGTGTTACTGACCTCCCTCTACATGTGTTACTGACCTCTACATGTGTTACTGGACCTCCCCCCCACATGTGTTACTGACCTCTCTACATGTGTTACTAACCTCCCCACATGTGTTACTGACCTCCCCCCACATGTGTTACACTGACCTCCCCCCACATGTGTTACTAACCTCCCCTACATGTTACTGACCCCTCTACATGTGTTACTTAACCTCCTCTACATGTGTTACTGACCTCCTCTACATGTGTGTTACTGACCCTCCCTACATGTGTTACTACCCCTCTTACATGTGTGTTACTGACTCTCTACATGTGTTACTAACCTCCCCTACATGTGTTACTGACCTCCCTCTACATGTGTTACTGACCTCCTCTCACATGTGTTACTGACCCCCCCTGCATGTGTTACTGACCTCCCCATGTGCTACTAACCTCCCCACATGTGTTACTGACCCCCTACATGTGTGTTACTAACCTCCCCTACATGTGTGTTACTGACCTCCCTACATGTGTTACTGACCTCCCCACATGTGTTACTGACCTCCCCCCCATGTGTTACTGACTCCTCCCCTCACATGTGTTGGCCAACCTCCCCTACATGTGTTACTGACCTCCCCTACATGTGTTACTGACCTCCCCACATGTGTTACTGACCTCCCCACATGTGTGTTACTGACCTCCCCTACATGTGTGTTATTGACCTCCCTACATGTATTACTGACCTCCCCACATGTGTGTTACTGACCTCTACATGTGTTACTAACCTCCCCCCACATGTGTTACTAACCTCCCTCACATGTGTTACTGACCTCTACATGTGTTACTGACCTCCCCTCTTACATGTTACTGACCTTTCACATGTTACTGACCTCCCTCTACATGCCACTGACCTCCTTCTACATGTGCCACATTAACCTCCCTCTACATGTTACTGACCCTCCCCCCCTACATGTGTGTGCCACTGACCTCCCCACATGTGTTACTGACCTTCTACATGTTACTGACCTCCCTCTACATGTGTTACTGACCTCCCTCTACATGTGTTACTGACCTCCCCCTACATGTGTTACTGACCATCCCCTACATGTGTTACTGACCTCCCCCTACATGTGTTACTGACCTCCCTCTACATGTGTTACTGACCTCCCTCTACATGTGTCTCTGATACATATCTCTCTTAGGTTATCCACTTGACTCGGACTCTGAAACAGAAGATGGTGTTCTCCACAAGATCTCCAGTGCTTTCACTCACATGTTCTCCAGTGACTCAGAGGGATCAGAGGCAGAGGGCAGTAGTGATGAAATACTTGATGAAGGAAAAGAACCTGGTGATGACATTCAAGAAGATGGTTCAGAAAATTCAACTACTGAAGGCCATGACTCCGAGGAGGGAGATGGTGGTGTATTTGCCCCTCCCAAACTCATTCCAGGTACATGATACTTGAGTTTTTGAAACATTGTCTCCTGTTACTGATTGGTAAACTATAAGTTACTCACATTTGAAATTAAGGAAAGTCTAACCTAGTTTCACTCTTGGAGGTAAAATACTGTAAAGTAAAGGCAAGGAATTAAAAACAAACAGTAAAGTATGTCATTTCTCCTAGTCCATCCCAGTGGTCAAGTAATACTGATTTAGCATCACTACATTACCACGCTGTTGAATGATACAATGACAGCGTCTCGTACCATGCACAGAAACTCCTTTACTCCGTTCCTTGTCTTCAACTTTGTTTTTCTCTTCAGTCAGTAGGAAATATTTAATCATGAAGGTGAAATAGATTTTTATATTTTCAAAAGCAGGTTTTTAATGAGTGTTTTTCACCACAGATGTAATAGATGGAGTTGACCAAGGGCTGGAGGACGCTGACACCGGAGAACTGGCAACCTGTATCTTTATTGACTCTCAGGATCATTTGGAAATCTCTTTCACTCCTCACATAATGAAGTCTGTTTATATTCTGGTGTCTGAATACCTTGAGAAACCTATGGAACCTCAACCCATTGTGTCATCTGCCAGTCACATTGCTCAAGAAATAGTACTTGTTAATGAAATTGGACCCAACTCTAAAGTCACAGTGTTGTCTCAGGTGGAGGTTGGTAATAACATCAACTGCTTAAATTGATTTTTCTTTTCCAGATTCAATGTCAGGATGTCTCAAAAAACTAAACACACTGCCCTCCAGATATTCATGGCAATGTTGGCCTCACTTATTGTAATACAAACATTCATGTGATTGCCAGGAAAGTCTTTAAGGCAGTGTATCTACTTTTTTGTGTATATCTGTATTGGTAAGGATAAAGGTTGAGAATATTATAGAATATAAATACCAGAGGCAGAATGGGCACTGTTTGGGGGGTCATGCCATTTCATTGTGGGTTGGGG